ACTGTACGTACTCATGGTGTACTTGGAGCTTCTAAAGCTTTAGGTCGGAACAATAACAAATCCATGCACTCAATTTTGTTTCTTAGGTTCGTTATGTCCCTATGTACTCCAGTTTACTCTTCTGTCTTCATTTAAGACTTGTTCATTTTTGAGAGAAAATTCCAGCACACCCGTTTTCTTTACCCACAGAAAATTAGTAGCACCGAGTTATAAGCAGGAAACGGGAGTGGCCCCGAACACTAAGAAAGGAGGCAGAAAAACCACAGACACTAGAAACACATTTTAAAAAGCACTGTCAGCCAAGACATTGCAGGACGTGGGCACGACCCCTGTGGTTGTGTTCCACGACAGCCTAACCCCACCAAAACGATGCCCCCGAGTCACGAATTCTGCCACAATCGATGCGCATTGCTGAAGAAGACTGATGAGTAAATAATATTTCAGACACACTTCTATCCACCTGGATAAAACAGTCTGGTGCTTACAGGTGTGAGTTTAAGTATCTGGAACTTTCCTTTAGAGAGAAGATATTTTTGCCAACCGGACAGAAAAAGGAAGCTCTATGTTACTGTGCCTTTTCCCCAAAGGAGGCCACATAACACAAACAAATAAGTTTTGAAGGATTTGATAGTCCTGGAAGGCGAGGAGGTTAGTACCGTGAAATATGATGTAAATTCTTAGAGGAAAATAAAGGTGAAATTACTTGAAGTTCACCTCATGACTCAGGGCAGAGCCCAGGAAGAATCAAGGGCTTTCGACTCCCAACCATGACTTCATGCAATTTATTGGCAAAATCAGATGGTGCATTTTGAACAGACGAAGGATTGGTGTTGAGAGCAGAAGATTCTAGACAGACGGCGAGGACCACTTCGGTTCTGTGCCCACAGTGCCCCTGGCCCCCCCCGGCCCCGCCCCCACTTGCCAGATCAATATGTGTGGGGCTCCTCATGCTCGAGCTGAGACGGAAGGAGTTGCACGACAAGTGCGCTGCAGGGACGTCTGTGGGCGCTGCTGCACCCAGGGCTTGAAAGAGCCACCGAACACCTCCACGTACGCACAGCTGATGCAACTGGGCCGCACCCCGGAGTCGGACAGAGCCGAGGCTGAATCCTGGCGTTCTCCCTGCGGGTCCCTCTAGGAAATGAAAGGTGGGACTGGACTGCCTCTGCAGCCCATCTCAGTTCCAGGAGCCCGTGAGTCTGAAACTGTGTTTATTGTATGTAAGTCATGGCAGCTAATGTTTAAGTCATCTAATTAACTGTTTTCTCAGTTTCTTTTTAAGTTCTTTATTCTGAACTTTACTGTCAAAACTTATTAAGAATTTCTACAACTCCACGTACCAAATTTGCTTAAAAAGTATTTTAGTACTGAATTTTGAAAGGTGCCAATTTTTAAGTGTATTAAAATACAGGTCAGTCAGACAATATATTTAAAATATGAAATACATCTTTTACAATGATTTTAAGACCAAAATTCCCTATAATTAGCTACAAAAATATGGTAAAGAACTGAATCAAAATAAAACCAAATAAACCAGCTACTAAACTACACATATGTCCTTAAAATCTTATGGGAGTCAAATATTCCAGTAAAAATAACAGAAGAGATGGAAACACAAGTTTCTTATTATCACACTTCATATGTTATAAAACATAACAGCTAACTTATTTTTGGCAAAATGATTAGGGATTGCAACACTCTGGCTTACACAAACTTACTTGATTGTCAAATGCATCTTAAATGGAGCGTGTCCTGCTGACTTCAGGCACGCAGGCACGGTGCCGTCTTAGAGTAGCCTCGAGACACTGAAATTTCAACACTTCAGCAGGGATCGTACCACCAAAATTAACTGGGCCAGGTGCTTAAAGAGGAGTGGGGGGACTTCAACAATGTAGTTAATTGAAACCAGACAAAGCTTTTGAATAGTAAAAAAATCATACAGATGTTCACCCTCCTCCCTGCGTGACCTTTATGGACAATTTATTGCACACGTTATTTTCTAAAAGACACCCTTTTAAAGAAAACATAGTTTCACATGTCTCTCTGGAAACTCTGTAATCACAGCATGAGTTATGTGGCCACGAACAGACTAGGTGGAGCTCACGTTTTACCTCCCTTTTCCCTTTGCACCATGATTCCCACAAGGGCAAGAGCACCTGAAAGTAAAGCAATGATGAGCAAGTTCTGACGCTTAAGAAGTTGTAAGAAGCTGCACTAACCACAGGAGGCGTTGTACTTCTTTTCCAACAGACATCGTGAATGCAAGCCAAAAGGGGAGATGGGTCCGAAATAAATGTGAGGAACCATGGCTTTCACAGATGCTTTAGAGAAACGATACATCACACGCAGGATGGATGTGGAGCCAACAAACAAAACCCCAACTACAGATCTGTGATTAAGTGGACAGACTGAAGGACGCGGAAGCCAACATTTTCTTCCCTGTGTTTATACAACAGTGTATTCATCAGGGTTCGCTGGAGAAACGGAAGCAATAAGACATATATGGAGATGTCACACAGGAAGTGGCTCATGCAATTATGGAGGTCACGAAGTCCCACAATACGCCACATGCAAACTGAGAAGTCGGAAAGCCACTGGTATAAGTCAGTCCGAGGCCAAAGGCTTCAGACCTGGGGGTGCTGCTGGTGTGTCCTGGAGTCTGAGCAGGAGAAGGTGGATGTCCCACCTCAAGTGGGAGAGAAAGAATTCACCCGCCAGTGGCGTTTTTGTTCCGTTTGGGCCCTCAAAGGACTGGCTGGTGCCAGACGGCAATGGTGAGGATGGGTCTTTTCCCTCTGTCTACAGACTCGACTGCTAATCTCTTCTGGACATCCTCGCAGACAAACTCCGAAGTCCTGTTTTACCGCTGTCTGCGTGTTCCTTACCCCAGTCAAGTTCATACATAAAATAAGCCATCACAAACAGTAATGCTGTTATTACTTCAAACATGCAAGTACTCTTTTAAAAACACGTTTTTAAAGCTTTTAAAATACCTGGAACAGCTAATGATTACAATTATGTTTCACGTCAGCGGCATTTTATCTGACAGACTGCATCGCTCCCTACGCTGGGAAGTAAACCCCGTGTGTCTCCATGCTCGACTGCAGACCACACGAGTGAACCCCTAACCGTACGAGTGGTGGCACGGGGGGGATCGCCCTCTAATATTCATGTGCTAGCAGCGGTGACCAACCTTTTGGGGTCTCTGGGCCACACTGGGAGAAGAAGAATTACTTTGGGCCACTCATTAAATACACAAACATTAACAAAAACACCGATATGCAAAAAAAAAAGGGTTCTAAGTAAATGTACAACTTTGTGTTGGGCCGCATTCTCAGCCATCCTGGGTGCCACGTGGCCTGCAGGCCATGTGCCGGACGCCCCTGCGAGTGTAAGCCGTTCCTCTCCAGCGGGGGCTGGGCCTGGCCATTTGCTTCTAACAGACAGACTACTGTGAAAGTAATGGGGCTGTCGCCTCTGTAACCAGGTCACGGTTGTGACTTCCTGCTCCCAGGCAGACTCTTTCTCTGGCTTTCCGCCCACTCTTGCTCTCCTGAAGCAAGTCAGAGAGGCCCACGTGTCAGGGAATGGATGGTGGCCCCCCCCCAACCACCAGTGACAAAATACAACAACCTCCAAGGAACCGAGTCCTGCCAATGACCATGTGAATGAGCTGGCAGCAGACCCTTCTCAAGTCAGATGTTCAGAAGAGACCCTTGATCAAAGTCTTGTGAAAGACCCTGAAGCTGAGGACCTAGCCATGTCGTGGCCTGATCCCAGACATACAGACACGAGAGAGCACACATGTGCATTGGTTTACACTGTTGAGTTCTGGGTGGTTTGTTACACAGCCGTAGATAACTGACACAGTAGTTAACCTAATGCCCGAGGCAATGCGTCCACTGTCATTTCCATAGTAACAGTTGCTAACACCTGTAGGAAACTTTTAAGTTCTAGGCATCATTTCTAATTCTTTATGTAATTTCTAAAAAAATCCCTCTGAAGAACACATTACTATCCACATTTCATAGATGAAGAAATGAAGGTACAGAGAGACCCGATAACTAGACCAAAGTCACACTGACAAGATATGACAGCAGGTATTTGAACTGAGGTGTTGTGCTTCTCGAGCCTCTCGAGCCAGGGCTCGCGGCAGCCCTGCTCACAGCAGCTCGCACAGGTACTTAGTTATCACACCGGCGGCCTGGTGTGTCCCCTTCAAGAGCCGTCAGACCCTGACCTCAAAGCTGTCTTATCCACTGGGGTGTCCTCAAAATACAACAAATATTTAATATGTTTGTTGAGTGAAGAAATAATTCATGTTGTAATCGCATCCATTCAATGGGATATTTCAATAGTATGTGTTAGTGAAAGTATGAGGTTTTGTTTTGTTTTGTTTTGAAGTCTCCTGCAGTTCACTACCTCCCCGGCCACTTTACAGAGGTTTTTGTGTCTCCAGTGTCTCTGGTGCGTGGTGGCACCTAATAAATATTTTTGAAAGAAAGAAAGAATGAATGAATCAATGAGTATGTCAAAAAGCCTGCCAAGCTACAGGACTGACAAGAGAGCCATTTGCCTATCAATGATGATGATAAGTTTTCTTCCTTTTAACGGGAAGCATGGACATTTGCAAAATACTCTGACAATAAGACAGATTCTTATCTAGGTCTTAACTAGTGACTAATCTTAAATATTCTTTTATAAAAGACAACAAATTACCTATAACTTAATGAATTCCAGATAACGCCAGACTAAAAGGCATTCAGTTGGAAAATTCCCACCTCCTTCAGCATCGTTTTTGAAACATCACGGACATTGCATGAACAGACCCTCCCACAGGCCCACAGTCAGACAGAGAAAAGGCTGAAGGCAGCTGCCCAGGACCCGCCCTCCGTTCTGTGTATCAGTTAAACAGGAGACTGGAGAACAAAGGACGGCTGAGGGGCATCGGTGTGAGTGTACGACCGGCTACCTCCAGTCATCAGCCCAGGCATACTTACTGGGATCTCAGGGGCAAGCTTCAGAATCTGAAGGCACATGTAGCAGCCTATTGAATGGCCAATGAGCACCAGTTTGGTTTCCTTGGGCACGTGAGTTCTCAGGAAAGCTATCTTGTGTTGTATTTGACCACTGAGCCCATAGATGTCCTTGACTTCTTGAGCATTTGGATCTAAAACCAAAAATATGTGCATGTTTTTATTCAGTAAGTAAAAGTAATAAATTCACTGATTAAAATATTAAAAAAATAACAGTAGTTACCATTTGTTTAAAGCCCACCATGTGCTAGCTACATACAGTGTTAGGCATTGTTTACAATAAATGATATCAACCAGTCCTCACGACAGCCCTGGAAGGGGGGTATTCCTACCTTCATTTTATAGAAGCTCAGACAGTGGGTGATAGAATGACAGACACACACTTGTTCAGCAAGAGGGGAGACTCAAACCCAGGTCTCTCTGTCCTCACAGCCCACAGACTGTCGAATATTCCACGAACAACTACTCTGTGCTTGTGCCGATGGTCCACAAACTTGAGCATGCGTCCGAACTCTCTGGGGGTTTCTCATGGCTTTCTCGCTGGGCCCTACCACCAGAGTCCCTGATTCAGTGGGTCTGGGTGGGAGGAGCCTGAGACTCTGCATTCTAAGTTTCCAGGAGACGTTTATGTTGCTGGACCACACACTGACAACCACTGGTGAGGCTCATTCGTCCGTGTTAGTAAACAACTACAAAATCCATGACAGTGCTTCATTATTTTAGATAATCTTTGAAGAACTCAAATCAACAGTTTAAGTAGAAATGTTGTAAGCTGTTTCTTTTAAGGAGCACAGTCCTGACCTGAAATGTCCCCTTCCTTTTGCAAGTGCACTGTCTTCTGCGTCCTTCAAGACTAATCAAGACTTTACCTAGCTGACCTCCAAGCAACATAAATGAGCCCTGCTTTGTGGTTAACCAGTACTCCACTCTTCCTACAGCCCCTGACCACACCTGTGCGATGGTCCATTGCCTCTCTCGGGCTGTGAGCTCCCTGAAGGTGAGGTCCATCTCTCCACCTCTGTGTCCTCCGTGACCAGCACAGTGAATACTGTTGCTGAGTGAAAATACAAACCGACTGGACGAGCTCTGAGGATGCTGCCAGCTCTGATATTCTAGAAGTACAGAAAACTTCACAGGCTTTCCCTGTGAACATACAGACGGCCCTCAGACAGAGTGTAATATTTCAAAATATCCCAAGGGAGTCGACTGCTTCCTGAAATTTGGACCGCTGGAATACTGGATTTCTTGCCTCCATGACTCCTGCAGGGCACCGACGGAAACGATATTAAGCCACAGTGTGAACTGTTCCAAAGGTGCCCCAAACTCATGAGGAAGCGCCGATCTTCGGTGTTACCTGTACCTGCGGTTTGCATTTCCTTCAGTGCTCAGCCCCCTTGTCCGCCTGGATGACCCTGTCCATCCTCCACATTCTCAACAAGTGTTCTTTCCTCTGGGACGCCGTGGTACTTGGCAGGCTTCCCCTCAGCTTCCACAACACCTTGTGTTTATCGGACTGCACTGCCCCGACTTACTCCGACTGTACCATTCAGTCTTGCTTCTCTCTGTTCCCAGCACCCAACAGACCAGTTAGTAGAGGCTTTTTTCCTACTGAATCAATGAGGATTAGTTCCCTCTTTCCATGGCACTGCCATCTCCCAGGTAAGACACATTCTGCCCTAAACCTTCTTCCCAGCTTAGTCTAGAATTCGTTCTCCACTTAACAAGGAAGTTCGACATAAAGCAAAATCAAGAAGAGATATAAACAGAATCTGGAAGTCTGACTTTGGTAGGACTCTTGACAACTCCAAATCCAAGCGTTCATTTCATATTATCTTTCAGTTTGAGTAGTTTACACTCCCTGACCCTTGGTGCACCGTCTCTGATCACTCCACCCACAAGTGATCGCGTGGTTTTCTGATGCTCCAAACCCAACACCTGCAGCATTTGCAGCCCGAGGTCTTCATTACTGTTGTCACAGTGCACAGCATTTACAAATGCCAGTCTTCCTTTCCTTGGGACGGTGTGGTACAGCACAGAGGTCACGAGCACTGGCAACAAGATAAACCTGGGTCTGTGTCCCAGCTGAGCACCTCACTGTGTGGCTTGGGCACCTCTGTCAACCTGCTTCAGTCTCCTTGTCTATATCACAGAGACAGTAAGTCTAGCTTCCTGGGAACGTTGTTTGCATAACTTTAAAAGCACACAGTACAAAGTGCCTGGTATAAACCGAGGAATGAAAGTTATGCTTCTATCATTTCGATTCCTGTCATTTAAACCCTCCGTCAAATATATACCAAGAACCTTAACATGGACAGAGCAAAGGGAAAGAAATGAGCTCAGTGCAATGAAGATTTTAAACTTCACCAAAACCAGAAATAAGGGCCTTAAAAATTCTATTTCAGATGAAATTTAATGAACATCATAATTCGAACAATTACTCAAGTGAATACTTCAGACATAAATCGGGCTTTACCTCTAGGAACTGCTCAGATTTCCAAGATAAACCTCTTGTTAGTGTTTGTGAGGTAATGAGATTAATTGGGAAAGTACTTTCTATAAATAAATAAACAATGATAGAAAATTTAAATGTGCCATCTGGATATTATTTTACTAGCAAAATCTACAGGTTAAAAGACTGTCTATATAGTTGACTATATATTTCAATGTCTATTATTATTTTAATATAATTTCAAAAACTTAGGAATCATCAGCTGACTCTCCGTAAAATGCAATAAAAATGACAATTAATTGTATCAAAATTAGAAGAATGATAATATGAAAATGACTTATACCAGTCTTTCTGTAGGGAAAATGTACTCCGGCTTACAATCAACTCAGCACATGTGGAACTCACTCTGTTTCCAAGCAGAGACCTGCCCGCATTGGTAGATGTCACTCCCGGTCACCGTGGCTTCCTCCGCGCCTGGTCCCGAACGCACTGCTGACAGTCCCTTTCAGAACCTGACCCAGAACCTGACCCGATTTCCGACACCCACCTCTATGAAACTCACTTCAGAGCTCACGTGTTGATTCTGGCGCATGCGTCAAACTGTGCATCTAATCTGTTCCTAAGGAGTTTGTAGGGAAATTGCGTAATATCAGCATTTTACACTTACTTTTCATGTAGTTGTTCAAAATGATTGATGGAGTTCCTAAAATTCTGTCAATTTTGGGCAGAAATATTATGCATCCTTACAGCTTCAGGACACAGGTAAGTCTGAGAACTACTATTTTCTTCCATTTCACGTGAATTAAATTGGCTAGTCTGACAGAAAACAGTGACTAACTGGCCAGTGGTAATATTGAAAGTACAGATGTGAATAGAATATATTCTCCTTGTCTTCAAGGAGTTCACAGTCTGATAAGAGAACACACACACACAAATAAAAACACAGTTATAACACACTAAAGTAAGAAAGGCTCAAGCATTCCCTTAAGAAAACAACAGGGTTTGGGGGATCCTAAAAAGTACTGCGCCTTTCTCCAAGTTACCCAAGATAAATGCATGCACATTACTCTACATGTGTAACAGTCTAGGGCAAGACTGGCTGAGAAGCGGATGGCCTCTGGAGCACATGGAATTACGGGCCGGGAGACTTAAAATACAAGGAGGGCAGAGACTGGCTCTCTGGCTCCTTCTCCCTCGAGGGTGCCTGGATGACCGCACTGCAGCTGCCTGTGTTCCCCAAAGGACAGTGTTTTGAGTGGGAAGGAACTCCGGGCCCAGCCCAGCACCGGGCTGGCGGGGGTGGCAGGGCTGTTCTTCGTGTCCTTTGGGAGGGGAGACGGGCTGAGGCAGAGGCCTGCCATTCTTCCAGAATTGTGTAGCTTTTGTATCTCGTATTGTATTAGTTTATAAACTAACCCCATACAAATAAGATAATTAAAAACAGGGGGAATGATAGGGGAACTCAAGAGTTAAAGATTGTAGGCTTAATTGATAGGTTTAAGTGACTAACGCCTGTGGAAAGCTGTTATTCCAAAACTACATACAGAGCTTTTGAATAAAGACCCCTTTCCTTTATCACCAAACCGGTGCTTCTGGAATTTTACCTCGAGGGTGGTGATGGCAGTGGTGGGACCCCAGCGGCTGTTCGGTGACAGCTTTACATATTTGATTGTGATCATAATGGCCTGAATTTACATATATTTAACCATACCCGTACGTGTGTGACTACCTACACATTGAATATACATGTGTAAGTGTTGCTACATATTGTCACACAAGCACTATTTACAGGTTGTCTACGGCTGCAGCCCCGGCCAGACTGGAGACTGGCTCCCCACCAGCCTTTCGCTGCACTGAGTCCGTGGAGAGCAGCTCCGAGTCTCACGCCGAACTTTCTCAACTAGTAAACTCCCCGTCCTGCCCCAGCACCCTCCAGAGCTGTAAGTAATAACTGCAATAGCAGCACTCTGCATCTTAAAGAACTCTTTGGGCAAGATGAATATACAGTTTACTCTTTAGGTAAAGTTTTAAAAACACACAATGATACCATGTTACTCATCATTACATGCATGTAATTAAAAATATAAAAAGAGACACAAAATTTACTCTAAATTTGTTATAATGGAACTGGAGGTAGGATACAGAAAAGATAGAACTTTTTTCTGTATTGCTTTATTTCACTAACAAAAATATGTCATTCTGACAAAGTATTAACTATAAAAGAGTAGTGAACAACAGCAGAATCTCGGACTGTTATGTTAGTCCCTATGGTTTAAAAAAAGTCCTCAAAGTAAAAGAAAACTGTTAAATTAGGAGTGCGTTGATGTGCCGTTCCCAGCTACCCGCACTGACGCTACAGGGGAACGCTCCATTCACTTCATCACTCCCAACACCAGAGCTCCGAAGGACTTTAAGCTCATGCTGAACACCAGTGAGGCAGAGGATGAGAACTGTCCCCAACTCTTTACGCTTACATGGTGCACCAGTCCAAGGGTCTGCCCTTCACAACTGTCCCGAGTTTACAGGCTGACGTGCGCGTGCACGCTCCCAGAGCAGCCGCAGCTGTCCCCTGCTCTCGAGGTCTTTTGTAAGTGCCTTGTATCTCAACACTGGTGTGACTGCTAGCCTTCAACGCACGCTACACAGTGAGGGGATGTGGGTGGGCACTGTATTAAAAACTGCTACCTTACTTAAAAACAAATAAAAAACTTTGTAAATGCTACACATGTCTTACAGAGTATTTTAAACAATTATTCTAGAAACAGATGGTGAAAACCAGGGTAATCAAATTATGCTTCCTACTCAGCTAAAACCAATGATCTTTCGATGGGGGACATGTGGGGGTGGGGCCAAGGGAGGAGGGCGAGAGAGGGACGATGCAGCAAGAACAGGATGCTCCAGACTCGGCGAAAGGCCTGAGCGTGAGGTGGAACGGTGGACACAGCCGTGATGTCCATGGCTGTCTGTGGTTTTAGAGAGAGGTGGAGCGAGTAAGGTGGAAAGGGAGGCAGAGACTACGCGGAGGAGGACCCTGAGCATCACCAAGGAGTCTGGACGCCACTGTGTGAGCAGTGAGAAGACACAGGAGGGCTGTGAGGGAGGGGCCGCAGCCTGGTCTGTGTCACAGGACGTCGCAGGGAAGTGCCAGTCTCCCTAGCCCTCCTGTGCTCCCTCCGGCTTCCCTGAGACCAACACTCGCTTGACTTCAACTTCTTTCCCTGCTCTGCTCTGTGTTTTCCTCACTCTTCCCACCTACTTAGAGACCTCCTTGTTTACTTCTGGTGACTGTGAGCCCCCGGACCGGATCCTCCGACTGTCCTGGCCTTGGCCTCGGCTAATCATTCCATTTTATACCTCCTCCTCCTGCAGTTGCAGTCCTGGCGGGAGAAAAAGCCCTACTGGGTTTGCCCCCTTTCTTTCAGTTATTTTCTGGTACTGGAATGGGGGTGGTTTTGTGTTTCTTTGGATAAACATGACCCGAATTCATCACTAGTTGAAAGGCTGTGTAACGTTTTTAGATAATGTTTTATCAGCTGAAACTAAATCACTATGATTTCCAGCTTTTATGTGATACTTTTTGAACAAATGACTTAAAATAGTTGATAATGAATCTACCATCAAGGAAGCTGACTCTACAGTAAATCAAAGCCAGAAAGAGTTTATACTTCTAATTCCTCAAATTTTCTTTTCACGCTTTTTTCTGAATCACCCCCTTCTGACATTGGTGAACATCTGTTCTCCCAATTACACTCAATTTATGACTGATAATGTGGTGCAACGAGAATATTATTTCCAACTGTTCATAATTTTAACACGTGCTAATATGAAGCAAAACATACTTTTAACACTTGATGTGTGGTTATAGCTTATGTCCTTTCTCTCAATGATGACATGTTTTTCACACCATACTTTGCACGTCAGAAAACCTGTACTTTGGAATAATCATCTTGGATGATGAATAGTGCATCTGTCCTGCCAATCCACACCCATCCACCACAGCACGCGCCTGCAAACACAACCTCCAACGTGTAGAAAGAAGAACTGTTTGGGGGAAGGGGGTGCTAGTGAGGCCCTGACCCCCCTGCCCTTCTCAGAACTTCTGGGCTGCTTGGAACACAGGCGGGAAGCCAATAGCCCAGAAGGCAGCATTCCTATTCCCTGTAGACCTCTGCTGCTCTCCACAGAATAAGCCTGTAGGTTGTCAATAAACCCTTGATGAGGACCACTGCCCTTTTACCCCCTCTGGAAACCACAGTCTCCTTTGGCCCTGCAGTGGCCCTGTGGGCTAATGCCTCTAGGTGGCACTGTTCTCATTAAGTAGCAAAGGACCCAGGCTCTAATGATCAAGTTATTAACTCAGTAAAGTAGCACACAAGCAGCCTAAGCAATATGCTTACTCGAAATAAAGTTATAAATGACAAGATGTCAATGGAACACAAGAATTAAAGACAGTTCCCAGAACCAGGCACACAACAGGCACTTTCCACTGGAGTTTCTCACCAGGGTTTCCTGGTGGAGGTCTACGGCAGCGGTTCTGAACGCGTGGCCCCAGGACCAGCAGCATCCACAGGACCTGGGAATGTGTTAGAGATGCAAGTGCTCAGGTCCTGCCCCCACATCAACCGAATGCACACCTCGGGCGGGGAGGGGGAGCGCAGCACCCAGTAACAGGCACTGTAATCAATCACCTCCCGGGGACTCGGCCCCTTGCCCAACTCTGAGGACCCCTAGTCCAGGGTTACCCTTCAAGAGTCCATTTTCAACTTTCAGAGTTGCTATTCACATTCTGCTCGAATGTTTGCTTTACTGAACTTAAAACTTTCTTTGGTCATTCATAAAAAAGTAACTTAAAACAATAAAAACTGTACCTTAAGATATTTCATAGCAGAACAAGTACTCACTATACATGTTACTCACTTTCAGTCACATTTCAATACGATGGTTGTTGAAATAGATGTTTTTAATCAAGGTAATAACTGAATATTCAGTTTCATGTCACTGCTGCTCTCAAAATCGTTCACTGTTAGGTAATCAATCTGGACTTATTTTTCAAATATACCCTAGTCTTTGAGCAAAGCATAAGTCTCTTAAGTTGCATTCATACAGGGACACACACACGGGCGAACAGAGAGAAAAAGATACTATGAAAGGGGCGCTTTGAGGTATTTATGCATCTGCAATGAGCTGCATTGTTTCAGCTATGCTCCATTTACCCTGCCCCCATGATGAGTCACAGCAGGAAAAAGGTCACAGACTAGGGTATAATTTGTGACCATGGCAGGTCTAATCCAAGAACTGGCTCACAGAGACCTAACCCTGAAAACCTGGTCTCATTAGCGCTCCGTGTTAACCGGCGGGGAGCACCTCCACGTGAGTGCTCCCGGGCACCGAAGCACTCACTGGACCAAATAGTAAAAGCTGGCTTCTTGTCGAGGTTTGGCCACACTTGCTGGCAGAGACTGCGTATCTCTGTATATGGCATTATTTTCCTGTAGGACCTTATTGTCCTTTCTGCTGCTTCTTTGTTCTTGAAAAATGAGGGCTCAAGGTGGGATCTGAGTCTAAGATTCTATAATTCTTTTTTCTTAAAAGCCTTTTTCAATAGCAGAAACTTTCCAACACACAAAAAGTACAAAGAACAGTGTAATAAATCCCTGTGCGCTCATTGTCCACTTAGTACAATTATTTTTTCCCAGCTTTACTGAGGTATGACTGACAACTAAAAATTGTGTGCATTTAGGTTGAACATGTGATTGTTTTTAAAGGTGGACAATGTAATGATTTAATAAACATTTACACTGTGAAATGATTACCAGTCAAGTTGATTAACACGTCTATCACCTCCCATCGTCCAGTGTAAGTGCCCGACACAAAGCTTTTGATTAACGAGGCACCCATTTCCAAAGACGTCCACTCTGAAGAAACACACAGCCAGCTGTAGGTCACAGCTACTGGCAATGACCCGACAGAGAACTCGGCCACCCCCACCCATGGAAGTCCCTACTCTATATATAAAGTCTTTTGAAAGCCACGCCTGTTTTCTTCTCTATCTACTCGTATGTACCCCCACGATCTGCAGGGCTGTTTGTCACTCAGTCACTCTCTAGAAGTGGAACTGAGCACTGCCTGAGAGTCAGAGCCGTGGCTGAGGACGACAGTTTACAGTAACATTTTCCACATTCCTTTCAGGACAACCCTGAAGATCAATAGTGCTTGATCAATAAATACACAGTTGATTACCAGTTGGTAAACAGAGAAGGGAAATCCTAGGCAAATCATTTAATCTGCTCAAAATGTTACAAAAAATCACTTGTAGAGGAATGAAAATGACTCTAAAAACCCTAAAATCACCAAAATGTGGCACCCTGGGCCCTACGCCCCAAGCAGAGGTTCCCACTGCTGCTGTGCAGCTTTTAGCCTCAAGGGGCTTTCCAGAAACGTGGCCACTCGCTCACTACAAAGGACAGCAGATGTATATGAAGACATACCATCTGGGGTTGCCAGAATCTTCTTGTCTTTGGGGGCCACCACTTGCCCGGCATGACTGATAACCCAAACTGGAAAGCGTCTGTTGATTGCAGAGTACAACGCCTTTGCAAATGGCATATAAAAGGCAGAAAAACCTGGGTTACCTAAGAAAAGAAGCACAGACCTTAGATTAATCAAAGCAATCAACTCATGTAAGATGATGTGCAGACAGGAAAAGGTTTTATATCTCCTTAGCAAATCTAGTAACATTTACACATGCACCTCAAATTTAATATCCTTTATAATTTAAGTCTGGGAATGATCGCTTAGTAAATTTCTGCTTCTGCTTTGTTCTCCAACTGTTTCAAATAAATTCTTCCTCCCAGTTCCTCAACTTAATAAATGGAACCGCCGGTCATTAACCTCAAGTCCTAACACCAGGAGTCATTCTTGGCTTCTCCTTATTTTCCACATCCAGTTCACCCACCAGTTCACCAGTAAGTCCTGTCAACTATACATCCAAAACACATTTCAACTTTGTCCACCTCTCCATTCTTATTATCACTTCCCACTGGGTCTCCCGAACAGCCTTCTAAACAGGTCTTCATCTCGTCCCTTTGGAGTCCATTCTTCAGAGCACCCAGAGAGGTGCCTTCAAACCTCAAGTCAAACCAGAGCAGGACCCTACTTGACCGCCTTCCAGTGGCTTCCTGTGGCCACCCAGGTGGTCTAAAACCACTGCGCTACTTCTACGTCCCTTCAGGATCGGACTACGCACAGTGGCCACGCTGCATGAAACCAAATGAGCGAAGAATCGTTCACGGAATTTTAAGGAGGTGACTAAGTGTTTCCTTGTCATTTGTTACAAGTATTTATATTGTAAACAGATGTTTAGTTTGATCTTTTGGGGAAAAGACCAGCAAGTAATACGAGTGGATTTTTCTGTGTATGTACAGAGGTATTTTTGACATGGGTTTGCTACAGAGAAAGAACTGATAATCTTTTTATTTTTATTATTTTTAATCCTCACCTGAGGATATGTTTATTGATTTTAGAGAGAGAAACATCGCTGTGAGAGAGAAACACTGACTGGCTGCCTTGCATGCACCCTGACCAGGGGTGGAACCTACAGCTTCTCGGGACACGGGGTAATGCTCCAACCAGCTGAGCCACCTGGCCAGGACTATAAACACTCTTTTTAAAAAGAGTCAGTCTGATACATCTTTAGGGGAAAAAGGCGGTGAAATGGGGTTTTCATGTCAGGATCATCATTTGTGTGCTTTCACAGACACTAGTTCATTTCCATCAATATCTACTTCTCCAATCAACTTATCTGTTCTTTATCCTATTAGGTTTTTTCCTCTTTGCACTCATAGGACTTGGCTTTGCTGCACCGATCTCTTCTCTGTTGTCGTATCTTTTAGTTTCTCAGATGTGCGGTGTAGTCAAGTAGATTAGGGCGCAGATTCCGGAGCCAGACTGCCCGGGGTGGAGTCCTGGCTTTGCCACCTGCTCTTTGACCTTTGGCAAGTTATTTAACCTCTCTGGGACTTGGTTTCCTTGTCCATAAAACGAGGATAAAAATCACGCTACCTCATGAGAAAACTAAGTGAATTAATATATGCAAAGTACCTAAACTGCGCCATACATAAGCACTGTGTAAATGTTAGCTGCTCATACTTGTCATCACAGTCTAGCCACAACGGTGACAGCCTTATCATCCACGTTGTTATTTTGCTTCTCTTGCATTCTGACCCAATGACCCTAGTTCCAAACACTTTTAGGGATGGTGCACGTGTCATCTTTGTTAAAGAGGTGAAAGCTTCCTCAGATGCAATCACATGCTCTCTGCTCAGCTGACTGGCCACCTGCAACTAGAGGAGGAAGAAGGGAGGATGGCGTGTCGGGTTGGGGGCTGTTCCATCCCTGGTGGATGGGGATGACATTGTTTCATTGTTTCCTGTTTGATATTTAAATCTTTGGTAAGTGTGGAATATTTTTGAGTGTAAATTATAAAGTAGCAATCCAACTTCTTTCCAAGCAATTAGCCAAGTGTCCCAAGTCCATTATTATGTAATCCATTCTTTCTGCATTGATTTAAAATGGCTTCTGATCCAATAATGAATTCTTACATTAGCTTGCTAATTCTGATTCCAAATAATTCCACTTATTTTTTTTCCTTTTCTCCTCTGCCAGCACCATACTGTCTCAATTACTACACTGTGTTTTCAACTGGTAGGGCAAATCCCTTCTCTTTATTTATTTTTTCCTAAATAGTCTAGGTTGGTCTCATAAACTTTGGAATGATTTTCACCAACTTCAATTTTTAAAGGTCTCTTTGGAATTCTGATTGAAATTTCATCTTAATTTACATTACTTCAGAAAGACTTGGGTTTTTTTTTTTTACATGATTGAGCATAACCTCAGAATGTGTTATGCCTCATAGTCAAATGTTTTTTGTTTCTCAGTAAAGTTCTACAGTTTTCTTCATGGGGCCAGAAAATAGTAACAGTCAACATTTTTAACTGCTTATGACTTATTACATGACAGGCAGTATGTATACAACTTTACATACATTAACTCTTATCTCCACGTGAGGTGGGACTATTATTAGTTCCATCTTATGGATGAAGAAACTGAAATACAGAGAGGTTAAGGAGCTTGCTCAAGGTCATGCAGATAGTGTGTGCTCAATACATATTTGATCACTGAAAGAATATGTAAAAGGAAGTATTAACACTGAATCTAAAGAATGAACCTCCTGGGCCAGGATCCTCCGTGTGCCCGTCATGGTTAACCTCCCAGCAGCCCTGGGAAGTAGCTGCACTGCCCTCAGGGGTAATAAACGGACAGCGCTTGCTCCATACTGGGCACACAGTAGGTGCGGAATAAATGGCAGCTATTACTACTATAATTATTACATTTAGGAATGTACTGAATACAGTGGACACGTAATGTTCTGTAAGTTTAAAGTACACAGCAGGTCAGAAGTGGCCTAACTCCGAAGGGCGTCCAGGGACGACCACGACACAGTTCAGGTGCGATCGGCACAATGACGGGCTGTGTGAAACCAGCGAGTGCCAGGTCATGGAGCTGCTGTAAAACATTTTTTTCTCCTTACATCCGGGTGAAAAAGAAGGCAAATTTTATCCTTCATGACAGGATGGATGCACTTGGAGAACAATATGCTAAGTGAAATAAGCCAGTCAGAGAAAGACAAGTACCGTATGATTTCACTCATGTGTGGAATCTAAGGAGCAAACTGAACTAACAAAGAAAATGGGGACAGACTCATAGATGGAGAGCAGGATGACAGGTAAGGGTGCGGGCAGGTGAGGGGATAGAGGGACTGAGCAGACAGGAAAAGGGACTCATGGACCTGGATAATAATCTGGTGATTTCGGGGGATGGAGGGTGGGAGGGGAGAGGGGATATAAGTGGACTGAATGGTAATGGAAAAAATACAATAAAGATTAATGAAAAAAAAAAAGCCTGAGTTCTTTTCCTTAGTAACTACAAAATCTTAAACAAATCCTTTAAACTGTCTGATTCAGTCCTTTATCATCATCCAGCAAATGATAATGCCAACTACTCCATGTTCATTTACTCTAGTCAGCACTATAGCTTCTTTTGCATATTTTTTTAGTTAGCAATTATTTATTGACCACTTACTATGTGGACATCACTGTGTTAAGCACCAGGCAGAGAAGGGCCTCTTTGCAATTTATATTCTAGTGGGAGAATATATACACATAACTAAATAAGTGAATAAGTTAATTCAACAATGAGCCCTGGCTGGTGTAGCTCAGTGGATTGAGCACGGGCCTACGAAGCAAAGGGTCGCTGGTTCGATTCCCAGTCAGGGCACATGCCTGGGTTGCAGGCCAGGTCCCCAGTAGGGGACACAGGAGAGGCAACCACACATTGATGTTTCTCTCCCACTCTTTCTCCTTCCCGTCCCCTCTCTCTAAAAATAAATAAATAAAAATTAAAAAAAAAACAATGTAACAACTCCTATGAAGGACATAGGACCACACGATAGAGAAGGGAGGAGACTAGGGCAGCCCGAGAAGAACGTTTGAGAGGCTGGCATTTAGCTAAGACCCAAAAGATGAGAAGAAATCAACCCTGTAAGGATCTGAGAGAAAAGCAAACTAGGATGGGAGAAGAACAGGTACAAAGGTCCTTAACCAATAAAGAGCTTGGCTCTTGAAGCCACAGAGTCCACGTGGCCAGTAACAGGAAGATCGCATTTACAACAGAAGTGGGCAGTGTAATGCAAACTGTGCAGCTGTCATGGCACACTTCGTCACTTACGTGTTATGGCTTATGTCACACTTCATGAACCATGGACAAAACTTCCTGGCTAGGAAACCACACAGAGGCTGCAGTGATCATCTCTGGATCTCAACTGTCAGTAAACTCGTAACTGTTCAACGATGTCACTGCACACTTAATGCCTTCCCATTAACCTGGCAGGGGCCAAAAACTTCCACCTACCGAGTTAATGTGGCACAGCATGTGTAGAAGGTTGTGACACGGGCAGAATTTGGGCTTGTCCTTGGAGGCTTCCGCTCCATCTCCAATCAGTGTGCTCACAAGACAAGACATGTCACATGGTTCTATTACCCCCACACGACCACCTGAGAATTGTAATGAGTTCCCCAGTGAGTTCTCAATCACCATCCTCTGCTCATTTCAGCACTTAAAGAAAGTCCGAGGATACTGCTACTTATCAGAAATTCTACAACAAAAGTACACCGGAAAAGATGAACCTAAATTAAAAGTTCCTCAATCTGAGAATTCCACCAAATCACTCCTCATTATCATCACTAATTTAAAAGTGAATTAATTTTGCTAGCTGCAAAAGCAAAGTGACTTAAAATGAAATGTTATGTCAGCCTACCAGAGATGGATTAAACATGATGTCAACAGTGGTTTGACAATCCTTGAAATACTGTCATTCACAGTACAAACAGAGTAGGCCACAAAATTAAACACACACACACACACACACACACACACACACTTCTGAATCCCACAACCTAATGAGCAGTACCAGCCTGTAGCTCTCATGAATGCCAAGGAAAACGGCCAAGGGCAGCCATGAGAAAAGAAGGGCAAACATAAAAGGATACTAGGACACTAAAGGTGACCCCAAAATGTCAAAGCACTATCAGATAACGACAGGATAAAACAACAAGTGTTTTAAGCTTCCCTTTCTCCGTATCCTAAACCTGGCTCTCCCCTCTGAGGAACCCTCTTCCTTTCCAGCCCCTGCAGTGGGGACCTCACTGTTCTCTAACACCACACCCACCTCAACGAGAGCAAAGGCTTTCGCAACACAGTGCTCCTAGCACCGAGGGAAAATGACTGAGGGAGGAGTGCCTCTGAGAGGGGAGCAGAGTGAGCTGTCTGCTCCTCCTATTTGTTCATCTTACTGTAACAACCCCTCCTCCTTCAACACTGAAGCCGTCTACTGCCATCTATCAACTTTGTAGTCATCCTCGCACATTCCCTGAAAACCCTGACTCTTAACTGACAGTTTCACTTGCCATTCCAGCACTAAGGTGATTTCAAAATCTGGGTGGACTGACTGAGCCAACATCTTTGTCCCCTAATTCAAACAATTCTGCAAGCCACACCCTCGACCAGGGGAGTACCTATCCGTCCCCCATCAGGCTGGTTAAACACAGATGGCCCCACCCCCAGGGTTTCTGGTTCAGAAGGTCTGGCATTTCTAACAAGTTTGCAGATGGTACTGCTGGTCCTGACACCAAGTTTAGGAACCACAGGCCTCGATCTTTTCATTACCCAGAAATGGTGACCATTCACAGCATCCCAACTCAGACGGCTCTTCAGCCCAACTTTCTTCCCTGTTGGACCTCACCCTCGATACACCTGCTATTGGATCATGGTGCTGCTCAAAATCTATCTACTCGGTTTTGGTTGGTAATTCCTTTCCTCCTGCATATCTGCTGTTCTCAATGCCCGACCACTTTCCTCAAAGCCCCGCCCACTTTCCTCAAAGCCCCACCCACCCTCTGCCAACCCTAATGTCAGCAGATCACCCCCACTCTTGGTTAACAGAGAGCACAGAGGCTGGGAGGCAGGAACCCCTCCAAAGACTCCTTTCCCCCTGCTCCATTTCAGCGAACAGCTTCACCTCCTTCATTCTGGCCTCAGGAGCAGATCCCTTCTCCAGGCCGGGATGAGGCTTCCGCTTATTTTCTCACTCCTGCATTGGGCTACGGCCTCCAAATCTCTGCTCCATCAAACAGCACTTGTCATGCCTACAGCTGCACACTCTCCCTCACTCTTGGCAGAGCCTATGTATTTTTCATTCCAAGAGATGCCAACAGATCTGCTCCCTGCAGGAGACTGTTACATCACGGAAGAGACTGGACATTTATTTCCAGAAGAGGTGATACTGAGGGGAGAGGTGGGCCCAGCAGAGAACAGAAGCACTAGGCTGGGAAGATGCTAGACAGAGTGTTGCTGAACAACCTCCTCTCCCTGCTCAGCGCAGCCATCAGCTCACTGGCTCCCCGCACTCCTCAGCCAGGATCCTGGAAAGTTTCTTCCCGGGGAAACTGGACAATCCAAGAAGCAGCTGCAGATACTGAAAGCTGGAAATTCTCCAATGAAATGCTGGGGCCCTACCCAGTCACCCCAGGCTGAGGATTACCTAGGGTGACCAACTGTCTTGTTTTGTCCAGGACGACTGTGGTTTCAGTACCGAAGTCCCATGTCCTGCCTGGAAGCCCGTCTGACCAGGGTGGCGGGTCAACGTGGGCACACCTGCTGACGGGCCCCGGCTTTAAACACAGAGCTCCTTTCCATTTTTTTGTGTCTATTAAACATGAAAGGGCGGTCAAGGGTCCAGGAATCTAGAGAAAAACAAACACTAATGCAAACAGAAAAAGTAACGTAGAAAAACTCAAACATGCACGAAGCCAAAGAAAATGAGACGGTACCCACAAAACAGGAGACTGCAAAAAAGAGAGAACAGAACTCAGAATGAAAGTGTATGCATTTCTAGTTTAAGGGGTCCCCAAACCCAAATGTAATATGTGTATGAGAAATAAAATTTGTATCAAGGTCTTTCACTGAAAAATGTCAGAATTTTAGAACAAAGAAAAGATCCCGTTTTTTTTTTTGGATGGGGGAGCTTCACATACAAAAGTTCAAAAATCAGAATGATATCAAGACTTCTCAAAAGCAGCCGTGAATCCTGGAAAACAATAAAAATGCCCTTCACGTTTACAGGAAACATTATGTTCAACCTAGAAGGTAAGGCATTTTCTGACATGCTGGATCTTTGAAAGGTTACTTCCCACGCCCCTCTTCTCAGGATGCTACTGGGGATGCTACTTGGTTTATGCAAAATAAGGGCTTAAACCAAGACAGAAAATATGGGACCCAGGAAACAATTCAACCCAGAGAAAAGTGGAAGAAATCCCCAGTGTCCTGTGCCGCAGCCTGCGAGAGCCATCGCTCAGACGGGGCCAAAGACCAGAGCGTTGTAGGAGACGGGGCGCCAAGAAAGAGCAAAAACTGACCGATTATTCAACGGCATTGACAATATATTTTTTCACTTCTAGAGAATAGTTTCAGGATAAATTAGTAATAAAAAAACATAGACAACAAAGCAAATGAGAGAGACAATCATTAACCCAGAGAAAATAAACAACAATGTACAGGGAAAGAATGTAATCATAATAGCCCACACAGACTTAGCTATATGAGTGATACAGTCTAATGTCATAAAACATAATGTGCTATAATACATATTTACAGTTCCACTTTTAATCTTTAAGGCTGATACATACATACATACATTCAACTTACTTACAACTCAGAAAGTGCTATGAACACCCACAGTCAAGCACCTACCCCAACACTCTCTTAACCATGATCCAGCACAAGTCACAAACGACCCAGCTGCCAAGTACCAGAATAAGGCAACATTCTACTTACAGTCATCTTGACATGAGACAAAGAAGTTATTTAGAAAACTTTGACAAAATAATTGACAAAGTTCTAATTATTCTAAAAATTATAAAAATTTAAAAAACTACAAAATTATATGGATGGTACACTTATAACTGATATACATGTATACACACACATACATATATATTAAATATATATAAAAATGCATAGAAAAAAAAAGCCCAGCCACCTAACTACTAAGAGTGGTTGTTATCAATGGTTTGAATGATTTTTTTCCCTCCAAGTTCTCTCTGAAATCAGAAATAGCTGCAAGTACCTGTATAATCTCCTCATCCAGACTTCTGAACTTACCAGTAATAATGAAAATAAGCAGCTTAGGCCTGTCGGCACTTGGGCCATTAAAGAGGTCAGTCCAGGGCCCACATTTTAGAACCTGGGTTTCAACTCCACAACATAAAATGAATTCCTCATGCACGGGAACTTCTTCTTGGACTTCTGAGTCCATTTCTAAACAAGGAAAGAAAAACAATATCAAGAGTCACTAAAATGTAAAACCTTGAGCCAAGGACAACATTCAAAAATAAAAATGGCAAATTTCAACACAGTTTGAAGGAAAGCCCCGAGGCGATATGGGAGACAGGTGACCGCTCAGCTGTTACGCGTTACAGGATTGCGAAACCACCACCCCTAAAACAAACCACAAGACTAGGAAGGAACAGTCCTGGTGACTTGGTGAAATAAGACTACCGAGGAGTGGGATCCACACAGGAGTGAGATCATACGGTGTTTGTCTTTCTCTGACTGGCTTACTTCACTTAGCGTAATGTCCTCCGGGCCCATCCACGCTGTCCCGAAGGGTAAGAGTTCCTTCTTTCTAATGACTAAATAGTATTCCTTTGTGTAAATGTACCACAGCTTTTTCATCCACTCAGTTACTAACGGACTTTGGCTGCTTCCAAATCTTGGCTATTGTATTCAGCCATAGTGCTGCTAGGAACACAGGGGTGCACATATTCTTTCAAATTAGTGTTTCGGGTTTCTTCACAGAAATGATCAGAAGTGGAATTGCTGGGTCAGAAGACAGGTCCATTTTTAAAAAATGAGCTTAGGCCCCGTGCAGTCCTGCTGAAGGCTGACACCCATACCCAGGGTCCCCTGGAATCTGCCTGGCCTCTGCCGGCCTCTGCATCTCTGACCCCTTCCCACGCAGCCACTCTGCCCTGGGAGCCCACCTGGAACGAGACCCCTGACATGCGGAAGTGGGGCTGGCTGGAAAGGTGTGTGTGACTCCCAATCCCGCTGGCCTGCTGACTTGGGGTGCTGGCCTACGGCTCTGCCGGATTTGGAATCTGCTCCTTCTTCTTCTGGCTTTTGCAATTCATTCTGGTTCTTGAAAATAATATTCTTCTACCTCAATCCCTGAAGCCCCACTTTTGAGGAACTGGGATTTACTACCAACAAAATAATGAAAACCAACATGCATTCAGAGCTAACTTTTTGCCAAGTGCTTAACATTCTGAACATACTTAATCCTCACTACCACTTTATGTTGTTGGTATTTTTATCTTCCTCATTTTTCACATGGAAGACCTGAGCCTGAAGAGTTAGGCAACTCGTGCTGGGTGATTTTGGCAAATGTTGTTAGTTTCCCAAATCCAGTACTAATTATGTCTCCACTTGAATGTTCTTTCCCTTCTCTGAAAACTAAGACCTTCTGGGAAGCCACTAGCACCCTGCTTAGTTCACAGGTAAGTATATCCCAGTGTGGCAGCTGTAAGTATATCCCGGTATGGAAGCTGTCAGGGCCCCAGGGGCAACTGCAGCCAACAAGGCTGGAACACAGCACGTAAATGGTTATTCCCCATCCGTAAGCTGGGCAGTTCTGGAAGGCAACCTCTAGCCTTTCAAGTGTCCCGGAGGAATCAAGCCACTCTTGCCACAGCAGTGACCTTGATCCTACACCCAGAAGGTGGCAGAAAAGGGGACATGAGGAAAACAGCACCACCAACAAAAACCGATAAAGAGCATCTATGAAACACTTTTAGATCACATTATTCTTAATATTTTCACAATATAAAAATATTGAATGACCTCCCTATACATTTGGGGAAAAGGCAGGCAGTCCCCTTTCACCCTTTCTAGTCAGCATTACACTGGGAAGTCCCAGCTGTTGAAATAAGACAACCACAAGTAAGAACAATCATAAAGATGAAGCAGGAAGAAATATAACTGCCTCCAGCTGTTGGCAAATGTTCATGCAGGAAATTCTAAGAAAATCTACAAAACATATAACTAATTTATTAAGACTGAGGGGTAAGCCCTGGCTGGTGTGGCTCAGTGGATTGTGCATCGGCCTGTGAGCCAAAGGGTCACTAATTCGATTCCCAGTCAGGGCACATGCCTGGGTTGCAGGCCAGGTCCCCAGCGGGGGCCACGTGAGAGGCAACACACATTGATGTTTCTCTCCCTCCCTTCCCCTCTCTCTAAAAATAAGTAAAATCTTTAACAAAAAAGACTGTGGGGTAAAAAGTTAATACAAACAATTTTACATTTATAAAATTAGCAGCAAACAATGGGAAGATTAAAACAGAAAAGTACACTTATAATAGGCCAAACCCCATAAATACTTAGGAATAAATTTATCAAAAGCTATGTAACATTCTTCACTAAAAATTATAGAACACTGCTGAGAGATATGAAAAAGACACGAATAATGGAGTGAGCTATATATCATATTTACTGACTGGAAGACTCATATCATTACAGGGCGAACTCCAAAAACTGATGTATAGATTCAATGCACATGGATAAAAAGTCTGGAAGGACTTTTTATATGAACAGAGAAGCTGGTTACATGTGGCTATGAAAATCAGCTAGAGTAGTGAAAGTAATTTTTAAAAACAGAAAACAGCAGATTAGCACTACGTGACTTCAAGACTTACCATAAAAACCAAAGTAGCCATGACAGTCTGGCATTGGTGAAATGACAGACATAAAGATCAAAGAAAGGGAAAAGATAGTTAAAAAATAGATCCATATATGTATTGGATATATGCATATCCATATGTATTTCTACATATACATGCCAATTTAGTTTGGATGGATGTTAAATGCAATTCAAAAGTTTTCAGCATATATTACCTGAAAAACTTCATATTATAGGAAAATAATAAACAACAATCCTTATTTCATACCATGCAGAAAAATTAACCCAAATCCAACACAGATATGAATGCAGAAGACAAAACTATAACATTTTAATGACTAAATATGTGAGGAAATATTTGTAAGTTTAGACTAGGCAAAAGGTTTTTAGCTCACAAAACCTTTTATAACAGATGAAAAGGACATATTGGACTTCAAAACTGAAAACATTTGCTCTTCAAACAAACAAAACATGTAGGACACTGGAAAGGAGAACATGTTACATCAGAAAATACATATCATGACAAAAGGTTGTACATGGAATATATAAAGAATCCTTAGAACTAAATAAAAAAGGCAGCCTAATTTTTTAAATCAGAGAAAGCTCTGAATATGTACTTGAAAACGGAGACCTACATATTACTAATCAGCAGCTAAGAAGATGCTTAACACCATGAACTGTCAGGGAAATACAAATTAAAATAACAAAGAATACCATCATAAAACCATTAGAATAACTAAAGTTAAAAAACACCACCAAGAGACACAAGCAAAGGATCCAAGATGGTGACGGATGGAGTAAGTGGATGTTACACTTACTTCCTCCCAGGAGCAAACTGGAATTACAGCTAACATATAGAGCAATCTACCTGGAAAACCAACTGAAGACTAACTGAACAGAAGTCTCATAACCAAGGATTTATAGGGGAAGCGACATCAAGACTGGTAGGAAGGGCAGAGACACGAAAAGAGTGGGCCTTACTCCCGTGGGTGGTGGCTGAGATTCTGAAAGAATGTATCAGCTGCAATTCCTGAGGAGATACCAATGGTGTATTTCAGAGAACTAGAGCAAATATTCCACAAATGTATACAGAATGTGGTGGAGCCAGCATTTGAACCCGGATGTCACGTTCTTTGTTTAAAAAACAATTTCATTTAAATGGATAAATGAGATATAATATGCTAGAGTTTTAAATGGTTATTTTTAAATCTTGTGTGTGCGTCATTTCTACCTCTCCTCACTCCCATGCATATCACCTCTAAACCTGTTATTAACTCAGTATAGTCTTCCATATTTTTCTATAACCACACATATACATAAGCATTTATACACATCTTAATAAATGAGTTGTCAGTGTGTGAGATATAGGAGCTTATTATACACACATCTGTGCATTTGTTTCTATACTTAATAACACACAAAAATACTGCCAAGTTGGATATTGTAACTCTAAGTCACTATTTTGAATGATTGTATAATGTGTATAGACCATAATTTATATGGCCATCTCCCTGTCTTGTTGACAGGAACTGTTCCTGGCACACTCTTAAATCTCCACGTTCTTACATATATCCACGTAACACTTTTTGTTTCTAAAGGCCAGATTCCCAAGTGTGGAATTACTGGGTTGAATTTTAATAGGCACTGCCAGATTGCTTTGCACACTCCAAGAATCCCATTTTCTCTAGCAATCTAGCAAGCTATCTTTCCCTTCAATTCTACCATCAATAAGTAGTACCATTATTTTTAATTCTTATAGTGTTAGGGTATAAACTCTCATTCTTTAATTTGTATTTCTCTGACTACATATATATTTGAACATTTTTAGATGTTTGCTGGTTTTTTTGACTTTCTTTTCTGTCAATTATTAATTCACATCCTTTCTCTGGGTTCCAAGTGGGTTATTTATATTCTTCTTATTGGTGTGCAAGAGATCTTTGTATACTGCTTATAGTAACCATATTCTGGGCTCCTATTCTTTCTTTCTTTATATTGAATTTATTGGGGTGACAATGGTTAATAAAATTATACAGGTTTCAAGCGTACAATTCTCTAATGCCTCATCTGCACACCGTATTGTTTGTTCAACACCCAAAGTCAAGTTTCTTTCCGTCACCATTATCCTCCCCCTTTGCCCTCTTCTACTCTATTCTTCGCCTCCCCCATGCTGCTTCCTACTGGTAATCACCCTACACTTGTCTGAGTCTTTTTTTAAGTCCCTTCCCTCTGACGGCTGTCAGTCAGTTCTCTATTCGATTGTCTATCTATGAATTTGTTCCTATTTTGTCTCTTAGTTTATTTTATTCATTAGATTTTGCATATCTGTGAAATCATATATATATAGGATTTGTCTTTCGCTAGAGAAGCAACTGCTGGGCCAGCAGCCCAAGAGCCACCCGGACAAAGTGGCTCCGGACCCCCCCGAGCGGTCGAGGCACTGTTACTCCGTTACTTTCGCCCCTGCGGGCCGTCTGCCCAGGGACAGCGGGGGCTCCGCGTGCAGCTAGAGAAAGCAAGGGCTCCGGCTCCCGCACGCCTGCCCGGCCGTCCTCCCCCTTGCAAACTCACCCCGAGAGCGACAGAGGCTCGCTTGTTCGTCTAGAAAGCAGCGGGCTCTACCTCGATTGCCCTGCCCAGGCGTCACCGCGTCCGGAAGTCCCGGGCCTTCTGACGTCACAGCTCCGCGACGTGAGCGCCAATGGGGAACCGCCGCCCCAGGGACTCGCGGCGTGCGGCGGTTTGGGCGGTTCTTGACCCTGGCTTGAGGCAGGTTGTCCGCCTTCCGGGAGATCCCTGGGAGGGTGTCGCATTGTTGGAACTTTCCCCGATCTTTTGAATGTCATCCCTCTCTGATTTCAGCCATCCACGATGTGCTTCCGGCTTCCCTTCCCGTTTTCAGCATTTCTTCGTCTCTTTTCTTCTGTTTTTCTTTTCCTTCTTTACTGGTCGCGTCTCTTCCTTCCTCACAAACACAGGAAAGTTGATTCTCAGTTGACTTAGTTAGCATTAATATAGCCAGCTTATGCTACTTCACACGTTAGCAAAATGCAGAAGATGCCTAATATGAGGTAGTGGGAACATGCCACACCCACGCTCCTTGAAGATGAAGGTCATATTCGTCTTGTGAACTGGGGCATCTGTATATATCTGTGCAAAAATGCGATGGTGAGTATGATGTAGGTTTATAGCTAGGAGGACAAGTAGACAAGTAGACCAGCAAGTCATCAGTGACTGTCACCTGCAAGTAGGAAGGAAGACTTGTTCCTTTTGTATTCAGCGTCTCAGCGATATGAACCACCACACCATCCAACCAGATTTTGGAAGCAGACTGTACCTCTTCTTAACCTCTCCCCCTTTTTAGTTTTATTTTCTAAATATGATAGATAACACGATGCGTTTAGAAAAAACTACTCACTGTCCTAAGCGCTTTTCATAAATTATAGTCCTCACAGCTTACCCATTGATGTCAAAATTAATACGTGACCACAGAGTCTGAAAACATAGATGAATACACAAAATAAATGGGTGATTACATTGCATGGTATGTTTGTTCAAGGTGCTGTGCCTCGTTACTAATGCACTGTTCACTATGCGCAAAAAATTGGGGTGCATGTTATTCTCAAGTACAGCATTTCTTTCAGTCCTTTCAATCTTTTCAAATACGCATGTGTGATGCATTCTCTCAAGTGATTTATATTTCTGATTTCATTACATTAGCCTGTGTCTGAAAAAGTAACCCAGGGGGTTCAATGTTAGGGAGTTCAGCGTAGCTGGAAGAATGTAACTTGTAGCCTTTCACGGTTGTAGCCCAGCTGGTTGGTCGGGGCTGCAGGCATCTCACAGTTCCACTGAGGCTGGAGAATCCACTGCTAAGCTCAACCATGTAACTGGTGTCCAGCACTGTTTCTCACTGGTTGTTGGTCAGAGGCTGACCTATTTCTGGGGCATCTGGGGACTCATTATAAAAGCATTCAGGGGCTGACTCCGCATTTCATTTATCTAACAATGTCCACAGAAAGATGCAATGTGGCTTTTCTGATTATTTATCTTCATCACTGGGTGGCAAGCAATGTATCGAAAGAAAGATTCAAAGTATAAGTATAGGTTTGTGTAGAATAGGCTAATTCCGGAACTCTAGGGAATGTAGATGACCAGAAGGAGAGAGAGTTTTGCAACAGGTAATATTTATTGAGCATTTACTATGTGCCAAGTTTTGTGCTATTTAACATAGGCCTAGAAGGGGAGGAGAAGCTTGACAGAGTTCAGGAGGGTAGTCTCAGATAAATGGTCCCCTTTTTGCTCAATTCATATAGACCCAGAAGTCTGGGCCCTAAGAAGCAGAAAGAAGTCATTTTCTCACAAATCCATGAGCATATAGTTGGAAACCAAGGAAATCTGCCTCTTGTTGAGCAGAGAAGCCGCAAGCAGAGTGCCATGGACGTGAGATGATTTCAGGGGACTGTCAAGCACGTGCAGTGTGTATAGGGAGGAAGTCGCAGCAGAGGTAGTGTCAGAGGCTTCTACCACTTCATGGGCAGGACCACTGAGGAGGGAGAGAAGAAAAATGCTGGCATTTCCGACACGGCCCGGATGACTCTGCAGGGACTACTGAAGACAGTTCTTAGAAACTGCCACAATTGTTGGGGACCATTTAATGGAGGTAAGAGAGCAGTTGGGGCCCCTTTGCAGAAGAGGTGGAAGGCCCACAGTAGCAATGAGAGTGAGACAGAGAGAGGGTAAAACTCAGATGTTTGTGATAGGAAAGAATATCTCTGGTGGATGTTATGAGAATGTCAGAAGGGCCTGCAGTTATTAGTAAAATATGCTCCCATCTTCCTTACCATTCCATTCACAGAAAGTTCGAATGATTGCTTTGGACATTTTTTTGAATTAGGATATGTAAATTGAAGATTATGTAAAAAGGAACAAGAGGAAAAAAGAAAAAAACAAAAATAAGAAAAAAGAATATTTTTATTTTAAGACTTTCAAGGTCATTCACCATATATAATGCAACTGTATTGCCAAAGGTTTTATTTTCATCTGTTAATATAATCCATTAGTGCCCCTCAATGAAACCATACCATGAAAGAAGCTTTTAGTGTGAGGGCAGGGTACAGATAAGAAAAATATGGGAGGTGTGGTTCAACTGTCTCTATAAGTTAAAAACAAAATTGAGATTGGGACTAGGTACAGATGAATATTCTTTTAGAGGACAGTATGTTCCCATTTTGTTGGGTTCCTTAGAAACTGCTCTGCTCAACAAGTTTTTTGAGCTATTTATACTGTTACAGTAATTTTACACATCATTCCTTATTTTTTAGTAGAGTTTTTGTATTCCCCAGTGAAATAAGAATGCTATTTTTCATACATCAAAGTGTCTTTTCATATTCTCAACCTATCCAACTTTTATAGACTGAATAATGGCCTCCCATGTCTGAATCCCGGGAACCTATGAATATGCTACATTACATGATAAAAAGGACATTGCAGGTGTGATTATGGTGTGGTAGGGATCTTAAGTTGGGAAGATTGTCTTGGACTATTCAGGTGGGCCCAGTGTAATCACAAGGGTCCACATGAGAGGGAAGCAGGAGACCAGAGTAAGGAAACCATAACGGGACAATAGAAGCAGAGGGAGAGACAAAAAAATATGACAAAGGACGCAACAGTCAAGGGGGGGGCAGGACAGAGAGAGAGAGAGAGAGAGAGAGAGAAAGAAAGGGAGAGGCAGGCTATGGTGTGCTTTGAAGTGGGAGGAAGGGGCCACAAACCAAGGAATGCAGGCAAACAGCCAGCCGATTGCTGGAAAAAGGTAGGAAATAGATTCTTGCCTAGATCTTCCAGAAGGAACACAGGCCTGCCACCATAACATTAGCTCAGTGAAGTTGATTTTGAAGTTCTGACCTCCAGAAAATTCAAGATAATAAATTTGTGTTGTTTTTAAATCACTAAATTTTTGGTGATTTATTGTAGTAGCAACAGGAGACTAATATACCAACTAAAGAAAAGCTTTGGCCATTTCTGTTTTGCAGTGAAGTGAAGAATATAAGCTAGAACTTTAACCTCTTTTTATTTTCTATGCTCTGGAACGAATAAGTAGTATTAGAACTATCAACAGTTTATATTTTCCTAAAAATCATTCTCTTAATTCAGGTAGTCAAACTTACTCGCTTTGAGTTGAGCAAAGTGGTTGCTTATGAATCTTTCAGTTTCCTTTGTATTTGTGGTTATTCCACTCTTTCCAACTTTGTACTTTTGTGGTATCTTACACTTCCCCCACTTGATCAGATGACACAAAGGTTTACGTTTATGTATTTTAAGGCTTTTTTTTTTTTTTTGCAAGAAGCAGTCCTTGGATTTACATAGTAGTTGTACATGTTTTTCTTTTTAAATTCATTATTGAATGCTCTTAAAGTTATGATTCTTCCCTTCTTCTTTTCTTGGTATTTTTCCCCAACTGAAATCTTATTTGTAAATAGAAATTTTCCAGCTATGAGTTTTTCTCTTTTTCTTTCCTTTATCCCATTTTTTTTTATGTACTGATGAGGAAATTCATTTGATAATAAGCAATTTGCCCAGTTGAGAGATCTGTTGCCCTGTGAGGAAAATAGTTGAATGATCTATTGCTGGGATAAATATGTTTTCAGGAAGTTTCTCAAGTGATAAAGTTATTTCTAATAATTTTCTTCCCTTCCCACTGAGGGATTTTGTGCCCTGTTGATATCAAGCTTCACCATGTGGCTTGTTTTTGACAATGAAGTGTTAGCAGTAGGTCCATGGTGGGATTCCACCGTTGTAGGATTCTGTCATCCCTCCTTTCTCCCTACCCTAAGACCAGGGCGTCCCAGACTGGGGTTGGTCCTTCACCCGGGGTCCCAGAACGAAGAAGATGTGGAGTAGAGGTGGAACCAACCACCGAAGGACGTGCATGGGAGCAAGAAATAAATCTTTGTTGTGTAAACTGCGGAGATGTGGGGTTGTTTGTTGTTGTAGCACAAGCTAGCAAAATTGATACTGCATGTACTGAATAAACAGATATATTTGTACGTGTATTCTATGTTCCTTCATATCTACCTTTATATACTACATTGTATATCATGTATACCTAAATATGATATGGTAACATATTTAAACAAATAATGTATAAGTATATTTTGTGGAACTTGTGGTATAATTTTGCTGATTAGAATATGATAAAACTTGTACTTGTGTGTTTGCTCTGCTTTATGACACATTTATGGTCATAGTCGAGATTTGTTTGTTGTCAACTCTTTGGTCAAAAACATTCCTCAATAACAACATTTTTGGAGAAAATCCCAAGCTGTATACCCATCGGCTTTGGTTCTAGAAATTTACTTAGATGTTTGCAGTTTTTAATTCTTGAGATTTTGTTATTCCTTAAAACCGGCAGAAATGACTTGTAATCATAGTGACATAATGTATCTTTATAAATGTTTTCTCTTATAGAAGAAAACTATAATAGTCTCCTGTAACCATCAGAGATACAAACAGAATGAGATATGAAGACAGTTTTAAAAATTCTTTTAAATAGAGAAAAGAAAATATTCTACTTTGTTTCTTTAAAGCATAATCAAGAAGTCAGGTGGTATTTAAATTCCAAAATATGCATCTTAGTTTTACACCATCGATTAAGAG